GTTGATGAATTCGTGGAATAATTTGAGCGTTCCCATGATGTGCACCAGAATTTTCCCCTTGAAAAATGCTTATGAAGAGACAAAAAGGGAAAAGAAAAAAGTGAAAAACGGGAATAGAACCAACCTTGAGATTCATGTAGTACCCTTTCATTCGGAATGCAACAAGAGCTTCACTAGAGTAAAATTGACCACATGTACCGATAATCTGGAAATATGACGTTCAATCACAGTTTTCACGCGCTTTATTTAGGTACCTTTGGGGTTACCCGAGTTAAAGGCAGAACACGAAACAGAATAAACTCTGGCTGCTGCAATAATGTCCACAAAGACTCTCGATCAACTGCAGACATTTGTTCACCCGGCGTTCTGAAACATATCTCGAGTAAAAAAGATGTGCTGATAAAGAAGTGCATCACTATTTACCTTCTCAGCGTGGGCCAAAGAGTTTCCATCAAATGCTTTTTATAATGACGCGGCCAACCGAGACGTAATTCGTCATTTATCAGCGCTAGTACCTGCAAAATGTGGAAAAATGCAGTATCAAATCTGTAACGGATATAAAAATGCACCTTGTCCGAAAACTCATCATAGGAAAGTTTTCGATCAAGTCGAGAAAAATCGCTCATTGAAGGATGGATACTCTTCAACACGGCTGTTTGCCCGCCATCTTTCAGGACCAATACAACCTAAAAATAAGGAGGATAAAGAATTACTTTTAGAGATTTGCAACATTTACCTTGTGTCCTTCATAGTAATCTGTCACTTTCCAATCCCTATAGTAACATAACCTATTACACAGATCCCCCGATACTAATCCATCTTGAAAGGCGTCACATAATTCCGTGAGCACTTCTATCGCCCTGTAACAATACGCTGTCAAGAAAAAAATTGGTATAGAACACCATCTTTGTTTAGTATCCTCTATGAGGACTCCGTAATTCGATACCTAGAACATAAACCTAGAAAATAGCGTTTTCAGCGAGGTATGCACGCTGCAAAACGTTAGCATTGCTGTATGTGCCCACATTTTGAATGTTAAATTACCACAATCAATAGTAAAAACCTGTTTTGCTAGTGTCATAACCCACTTTCACTTCGTACCACATATTATTAATTGTGTCAACAAAACTATCGACAATGGATCGGACAAAAACACATCTATAGTTTCCTCACTGCTCTTGACCTGTATATTCTTACAATTCTTACTTCCTCAATTCAGTCAAATTATACAAATCTCCGTCAGTCCATTTGGTTGAGGATATTTATTCAAGCCAAATGAATCAATAAGCCAGATCCAAGCTGTGATCAAGAAAAGCTATGAGAACAGTTAGTTCTTTTTATATACTTTAGATTAGCGCAGCAAGCAGCATTTTCATTACTTCTCCATCGTCTCAAACACTAAAGATAGATCAGCTCAAAAGCATTTTGAAGCTGCGAATCAAAAATCTACTGAGCTCTTATATCGGTCTACTATCCTCGTTCGAGCTCCTTTCCTTTTTTGTTGTCCACTAATGACTAACCCTTTAACTGCGCACCGCTACAACCAATCGCTTAATTGCTGCCTAAGCTCGCCCTTTTATGGGCATTGGCCTATTCTCCACAACAAAACAAGGCAATTAGCAGATCAACAATACACCAAATGAGACAAAAAAGTGGAAACGTCG